TTAAGGAGGAGGAGCTTGAGGAGACTTTGTTAACAAAGAAAACTGGAGAACTCTGGGGTAGCAGATAAATACATTGCTCTATATGAGCACTCGGCAGAAAGATGCTATGAGCAAGATTTTAAAAAAGATTTGGGAAATATGTTTGAATGGAGGTGACAAATGATGTCTTATAAAAATGGCAAGAAAAAGAGAACAATGTGACAGAAAATGGGCTCAGGATATGAACAGGAAGAAGATCCAGGAATTTTTGCTCAAAACAGGACAATGGGTGTATAAGGAAGCTTAGGACAGCATGGTTCGTGGGAGAAAACCACCCCCTCTCAGTTCAGGGACTGCTTCCGTTCTCCCAGCTCCCAGCTATTCCCCAGTGGCCCTGTGGCTCTCCAGTCTGCCCTGGCCTCCTTATTTTCTCATCTGGCTCTAGCGGAGGCATCCTTTACCCCTGACAGGCATCCTGGGCCCTGCACTCCTGGCCAGCTTTCTCATGTGGTTGCAGCAGTGTCTTTCTTCCTGACCAGCCTGGTCACCCTGGAGGTCAGCATCATGTGCCTGAGCTGCTGTTGAAATGGGGCACGCGTTGCCCACACAAGAGTTTTGTTTGCCTGTTCCCCAGCCTTTTACAAAGCAAGTCAACATTTAAAAGCTGGTATATTAAAAAACCATTTTTATTGTATTTTTTCCTCCTAAAATGGGAAGATATGGCCATTCTGTGCCTGATGTCTGAATGGCAGCTGGCAGCGCTGCAAAGTGTCCCCTCCCAAGCGCTCCCTGTGGGCATTTGAATTTGCTGCCCCGGAATCTAGCTCCTCATGTGCTCCCGGGAGCCCTGGGACACATCCTTGTTTGGAATCTGATGTTTCAGGGCCCTATGAGGTGTTGGGGATCAGTTTTTATTGCGTATTCCTGTGAACCTTGCCTTTGCTCTGATGGTTTTTGCCTTTAGACTCAGCAGACTTGACTCCTGTACTGTTGGCTATCTACACACATGTACATATACACATACATACATACATACATACACACTTATATATGTACACAGTGTATGTGTATCTTTATTGGTACACATACATGTGTACACATACATGTATGTTCACACACATACACACAGTAATAGCTTTTAGGCTATATCCCTCCTGGGAATTCAGACTTTTTTTTTTTTTTTTTCTTTCTTCCTCCCTCCCTCCCTCCCTTCCTTCCTTTCTTCCTTCCTTCTTTTCTTCTTTCTCTTTTTAAAATAATTGTCACAAGGGCCCATGTACTTGCCAGAGAGAGAGAAAGAAAAACACACCCTAATGGGGCATAGTTATGCTGCAATCCCTTTTTCCTCCATTTTTTCATCCTGTCGGGATTTTGGACATACACACACATGTGTCCAGTATGTTTTTCAAGCTGCTAGGGCCAAGATATGAACTGTGGTTTGTCATATGTTATCTGGTTTCCAAGGCGCAGAACTTAATCTCTGTACTAGAGGGCCAGCCCGAGAACTGAGGCGGGCAGGAATAATTATGAAGCAGACCCTTCTGCTGCCTCTTCAGCGTGAAGTGGATGTGTCTATCCCATCCTGTACTTTCTCCCTCTCTGGAGATGTGTCATCCTCAGTCGTGCTGGGCATCCCTGGCAGAGGCAGGCCTCAGAGAGCCATGTGTCACCAGATCTGCTGGGGAGCTCCATTTTACCAGCTCATATTTAAAAAAGAAACTTTCAAACTCATATGAAAAAATGACTCAAATAAAATAAAATGGTTTCTTTCTTTTATAGTAACCCCCCCCCCCACAAGATACATTTAAAAATCTCTGATCTACAGAGAAATAGAAAAGTTATGGGATGAAACTTTGCAAACATATGGATGAACTTATTTTTTAGTTATACTATTTTCTCTTTCTTTCTTTCTTTCTTTCTTTCTTTCTTTCTTTCTTTCTTTTTCTTTCTTTCTTTCTTTCTTTTTTTATTTAAATTTTTGCCACAGGGCTGTGCACTCGCTGGAGACAGAGAGAAAGAGAGACAGAGAGAAAGGAAACTGAGAAATCACCCATCAGGGGAGATGGCCATGCCACATTCCTTCTCCCCCCATTCTCCTCTTGGAATTTTGGGCATTCACACACATGCGCCTGGCACGTTTTTCAAACTGCTGGGTCTGGGACTTACACCACAGTCAACCATGTGGGATCCAGAGGGTTAACCACCATGCCACCTGTTGGCCTTTAGCTATATTTTTTAACAAAGCTTTTGAGTTTCTCATGGGGATAGATGTGACTTCTTGTGCTTGGCTTTGATGTCATCAGAAATAAACTGACAAATACATGGTACTTCTCAGATACAATCTGAAGTCTTTGAGTACTTTTCTCCCTCCTCTTGTGTTTGGTCCAGGCCTGTGCTATGGCCATGTCTGCAGGACACTCTTGGCTGACTCACTGATTCCAAGTCATTCCCTCAGGAGAGAAGCTAAATGGGGCTACTTTCTGTATTTTTAGCCAGCATGACATGCTTTTTTCTTGAGTCTTTCTAGATTCTCCTGCTGGTCCTGGAGTTCTGTCCCTTGATCAGCTCTTGTTGTAATTTCCAGCCTGAGTGTGAGCAAAGTGGCTATTTTTCACGATTTGATCTTTTTTAAAACACTCAGGGTAACAATGGTATTAATAATCCCAAACCTGCTGCTCTGCTTAGTGGCTCCATTTGTCCATCTACCCTGGAGTCTTACAGCAATGTTGTACCAAATAGGAGCTTTCCTGAGAAAATCTGGGAATGGTTTATTGACTGACCCAGGTGAGAAGAAAAAGAGCATCATGGACTTGGGTGCATCTTGAAGATGGGGAGCTGGAGCCCTGGGCTGGTGAGAACCTGGAGTCCGGCCCTGCTTCCTGCTTCCATGGAGCCCAGAGCCTATATCACTTTCTCAATTGTTTGCATCTCTTACTACACTCCACATGTGTGACCTGTGGCTGACCATGTCTATCCCTAGTGTTCTTGAACACAGCAACAGTGATGGCAATTTTGAAAACCAACTCAAGTATTCACTTCCTGCAAGAAACTACCTTTTATTAGACATCCACTGTGGGACAACACTGATAAATATTTCACTTTTGACACTCATAGCAGTTCTATGAAGTAGATCTGCCTCTTTCCTTGTGAGATAGATGAGTATTTGAGCATTTAGATAGCCGGCTTGGAGCAGGGCCAGAATGAGACTGAGACAATGCCCAGCCTAGGGGCAGCCTGTAAGTGCCAGGGTTGGAAGCTTCCACCTGCTGCCAGATGACCCGGATAGGACTTGCGTCCCACTCATTGACTGGGTGGCTCTAACCTTTTGGGACTGTTCCTTTTCTGTGGAATGTGGACAGTAAAGTACCTCCTTGTAGGCAAGAATTTTGGGGGAGACAACTTCAGTCTGTGTTTCAATGAGCGTATATTTTCCCAGTGACCAGGAAGGACCCACAACCCTTTGCTCTCTCCCACCCAAGGGGCACATCAGAAGCATGATGTCATGGTGCCTGCTTAACACCTCTCACTTGCTTCTTCCCTTGGGATGTAATAGATTCTATGCTGATCACAGCTCTTGATCTCTCCTGCCCACCACATTCTTGCTGGATATCCACTCTTGGGTGGACCCAGGAGTCTGCAGTGAGCAACTTCAGGTTGTCGCTTGTGCATTTCCTTCCCAGACTCTCTCAGACACACGAACCTCCCTGTCCACTTGCTGTTGCCATGACAACACATATTTGTTTCTATTGGGCACTGTTAGGGGCTGCATTATGTTTCCACCCACTACCCCAAATCTGTATGTTTAAGTCCTGACCCCCAAGACCTCACAGTGGGCCTATTCAGAACTAAGGTCTTATCAGAGATAATTAATGACTAAATGAAGTCATTGATTAGGGTGTCACTAATACAGTGCAACTTGTGTCCTTGTAAGAAGAGGAGATGAGGACACAGATTCGCAGAGGGACAATGAGGTGAGGACACAGAGAGAAGATGCTGTCTGTAAACCAAAGAGCAAGGTCTCAAGAGGAGCCAGCCCTGCCACACCTTGACTTTGGATTTCTAGCTTCCAAATGTGAAAGAATAAATGTCTGTTGTTTATGCCCCCTGTCTGGTGCTTATGGCACTCTGAGCTGACTCATGCAGGATTAAGTGTAATTTACCAAAGTCAGTGTAGGTTCTCTGTCACGTGGAGGAGCAGAACGAGGGGGACAGAGCCCAGTGAGTGAGAGCTTCCTCTGCTCCTGCCTTGAGTCAGTCACTGAACATAGGTAGGAGGAGCCTGGAAGGGACAGAGATACAGTACATTTGCTCAAAATATTTTTACATAGAGGAACTCCTTTCTCCCCACTCCAAATACAATTTCAGCATAGCATTTAAATAGATAATTTGTACATTTTAGTGAGAAAAAAAATACTTTCTTTTTTCATGTTTAGATATTTCCACTTTTTTATTTTTGAGGAAAAGGAGTGTGATATCCAGAGTTGTGGCAATGAATTACAAGAAGTCTCATTGAATTCAAGGGGAATATCCTTTTACTTGGTGTCTTTCTGACTTCCATATGGCCTATCCTTTGAGAATGAGTTAAGCAGAGAAAAGACGTGTACAGAAAATAGCTGAGATAACAAGCAAAGTTTAGCACTCACAGGTTTCTTAAAAGTTTATTAATTTTTTCTATGAGAAGGAAACAGAGGAATAGGAACCCCCAACAGGGTCTCCACACCATAATCTCTCCCCAGTCTCAGCTGGTCTGGCTCACTGGCATCATGTAGAGAATTCCCAGGCCATAAATCCTGGACCTTTGCAATGTAGGGCCAGTCGTACAACTGCTGCACCACTGTATGGCCTATCAACGATATTTTTAAAAACAAACTGAACAAATTATGTTAATTTATTTTAGCTGAGAAACATACAAACAAACTTTTAATCAATTATCTCACTGGGTTCTCTTGAAACATGAAATGCTATATCTCCAAACCACACAGATTTCCAAATCTCACACCATGTAGTTATTTCCTGAATATTCTACAACTTCAGACAAGGACGGGAAAGCAGAAGACATCCACATGCTCAATCTTAGACCGTCAAGTCCAGTCCTGTAACCTATATAACTGGGGTCCAGGACGCGTGCTCACTTCTGGTTGGTGCACAAACAACAGGAGAATCGAAAGGACTTTCACTTTCTCAGTATCTTCACTATGCCAGAAAGTAAAATTGTAGTCCAATCAACTTCTAGCTTAAAGTTTACTACACTTATGATGAATTGTCACTGAATAGATCAATAGTTATCCTTAGAAGCCCAGATTCATTAGTAATGCTGGTCCTCCACTTTTCCTCCTGTTAAAAAAGAAGTAATACAAGAACAATGTTTGGTGTGTATTCGAAGCTCAATAAATATTTTCAATATTCGTTCAATGAATGGATGAGTTAACCTATACTGGACACCTACCATACTGTATTCACTGTGCCAGGCAATTGAGATACAGTGATGGAAGATGAAGATACAGCCCACTTGGATGTACTCATTCTGCTAGTTAATTTGTTGAACCAAGTGGGTATCTAAAAGAAACACAAAGAATAGTAAGAATAACCTTTTGTGGACACAGATTCCATTATAGTTCGCCCTACTTGTTCAGCAACTGTGGCTCTTTCGCAATCATGGGATATCATTTAAAAATTTTAAAAAGAAATCATAGTGTGACACTTCTTTGCTTTAAGCCCTAAATAATCTCTTCTGTACAAAGAATAAACACACTCACTCCTTCCCAGGACCAGCAAGGGCCCGAGGAATCCCTCTGCTGGCATCGTAGCCTTGACTTAGACTACTTGTCCTGTGGGCCCAAAAGCCACTGTTGAGTTTTTTAAATTAATTCTAAGTCCTTTCCTAACTTCAGAATTTTTACTTCTTTGCACATACTCTTTCCTAGCCTAGAATGTCTCTCCTCTCTTTTCCTGGTCTTCACTGCAGAAGCACACATTCACAAGCATATTTACACACACACACACACACACACATGCACACATGTGCATGTATGAGCACACTCTCACACCTGAGCACACATGTACCCATGTACATACATGCACACACATGCTCACAGTCCTCCTCCCTCATTCCACCTAGCATATTTTCCCCCTCTTTTTGGTCACAGATGAAAGGCTTTCTCGACAGTTGTAGAGAAGAGGTCTTGGCCTCCCAGCTGAAGTGTTGAGCTCTCGTGAACTGTCTCACAGTTTCTTATACTTTTCCTTATGCTCTTTCTCTCCTATAAAAATGCTGAATTTTACATGATCATTCCTTGGATACATCCCCCTCTATGAGGGAGAGAAAATATCCATTATGTCTACCACTATTTCCCTCTGAACTAGTATCCATCTTTACCACATCACCAGTTGTTGAAATTAACATGTAAATTAACAAAAGAAAGAACTACTATCTGACACATTAACTGTTGTTTTGATAAAATGTATACACAGATATTTTGAGCTTTCTTTATCAGGAAAATGTGTTATCTTGGAATATTCCATATTTTGCTAACTAATGTTCATAAGTAACTGGGAATGAATTTTTAAGTAGTTTGAACTATAGGACAGAGTCATCACCAGAGGAGAGGAAATTACTCCTTCATATCATTAAATGAGGTCTCCTAAGAACAATTTGGTCTTAGTTCCTTTGACCTTTGGTAATTGTGAATTTTTCTTACATGCAAATGAGATAACTTAGATACCCTTTTCCTGGCCCCAACATTAGCACTTGATAAGATCATAAACAACTGTAATGGAATGCCTTTTGTTTGTGTAGCATTTAATTGATTACAAAATGGTGGTTTCTATGTGCAGCAAGGAAGAACGCATTCTTACTGGTACTTCATTATACATAGTCCTGGTCTTGGAGAGCCTTTCGGCCCTGCTGTGTGTTGTACAGTCTATTGCTGGTTCACCGCGTAGGCCTACAAATTACCACCTGTGGGCCAAGTCTGGTCTTCCACCTGTTTTTGTGTGACCTGTGAACTGGAAACAGAGTTTGTATTTTTAGGGGGTAGAAAAAAAATCAAAAGAATACTTGCTGGCACATGAAGAACAAACAAAAATCAAATCTTAGCATCTATAGGTCAAGTTTTATCGGAACCCTACCGCTCTTTTTTTTTTTTTTCATAACTTCCTGTCTATGGCTTTTGTTAATGGCAGGGTTGAGTACTTTTGACAGATACAGTTTGAAAAGCTGAAAATATTGTCTTGGTGTTTATTTATAGGTTTGCCAATGCTTTGCTGACACGATGACACCTCCCGTCAGCTGAGCTTCTCTTCCATATTTCAGCATCTCAGACCCAAAGCAATCTCTTCTGAGAAGACTTCCTGGCACCCAGCTCAGTCCAGGTCCCCACTCTTAAGTTCTTTTGACCTCCCTAGTCCACTGTGATTTTTTTTTTTTTTTGAGAGCTTTTTGCTATAGGGTGTGTGCGCCCTCCAGAAAGACAGAGAGAAACAGAGAGACAGAAAGTGAGAAATTATCCCCCAGGTGGGATGGCCATGCTGCAGTCCCTTCTCCTCCATTCTCTTCTTTGGTCTTGGGCACACACGCATGGTGTGGGTTTAAGTCACCGAGTCTGGGACTCGAACTGCGGTCGACTACACGGGAGTCCAGTGTCATAGCCATTACGCCAACTGCTGGTTCCTCACTGTGATTTTTCACATTAAACCTTGTTACAGTTAATACTGGTGGGATCAGAGGATTAAAATCTATTCTCTTTTATAGACTATAAGCTTTATAAGTTTGTAATAAGACAAGGTCCACAACTATTTTGTTCACCATTATGTCAGCAGTACTCAACACAGTACAGAAATCGTTTTTAGAATTAAAAACTGAGGTTTTCAATAACATCGTGTTGGGCCAACAGGTGGGATAGTGGTTAAGCTGCTGGACTCCCACATAGCTAACTGCAGTTTGGGTCCTGGACCTGATGACTTGCTTTCTTGCTTTCTCACTTTCTCTCTCTTTCTCTTTCTCTTTCATTCTCTCTCATGAGCACAGGCACCCTATAACAAAACTTTAAAAACATAGTAATAAAAATAAGATAAATAATTAAAAATAAATAAATAAATAGCATTTTGTTCAGAGGAGAATAACTTCATATACAAGAGAAGGGGCCAGTAAGAAACAGTCAACCACAATCCATCTTTTGTACCATCAACCTTCCATTGTCATGGGCCACAAGACATCATGGCTAATTAGATCCATAGGCAACAAAGCTTCAATTTTAAGCCAGGAAATCTCTGAGAGATCACTAATTAGAAATAAAATTCCCAATGCTTCACCAGTTGGCAGAAATTTTACTAAACCATGGAGCAATAGCAAGCAACCCAAATAACAATTTCATGTGAATTGGGTACTTTCACTACATACATTGGGGCTAGATTTCATGGGCGTATGACACAATATTACTATTAGACCCATTTTACAGATGCAAAATACAGGCAAATGAGTTAGGTCATTGTCCAGAATAGGATTAGGTGTGAGTCTCCTTTGATAAATATCCATTCCAAGAGTCTGGCAATTTCTTGGCCTTTCTGAAAGTTGTAGTGTGCTTTCAGTGGCATGTAGAAAAGGACAATGACCTAATTTGTTTGCCTGTATTTTGCATCTATAAAATGGGCCTAATAATACTTGTTGTGTCATAATGCCCATGGATCATAAAGTTGTCATGAATGTTATTTAAAGAGTTGTCATGAATGAAATAGTAATATTGTTCCTTGCTACTGGATATATTAAAGATGTAAATTTAAAAAAAAAGAGCAATGAGAGGACATCCCTAACCCAGTGGGTGCTGAAGCCCGCAGAGGACCATACTTGGAGCCAAGGGTATATTTATAACACTTCCCTGTTAAAAGGACCATTTAGAAGGTATTTTTCTCAAGATTTCCCTTGTGTAATTCTGAAGGGCAAAGTAATTTCGAACCTAGAAGCACAATGTTTGCCATACCACCTTGTAATGGGAATGATGTCAACTTAACTGCTTGGGGCTTCTGAATTCAGAGCCAAGGAATAACATGCTGTGGACTGCTTTTCCAACACCAGGCAGTGTTTACCATACACAGTGACTGCAACTTCTGATCATCATCCACAAAACAAGTACCAATCAATTTATTTTCCTCACCTCCACAGCCTACTTTGAAACCTGATTTTTTTTTTTATCTTAAAAAATACATCCAGGACCTCCAGTTTTACCTTTACTATGTAAAGAACTAAAAAAATTGTTACTTCCATTTATATAGCAAGGAAAAAGATCAATATAAAAAACTTTTTTTTGGCCCATTACAGAACTAGAAAGATACAGCCAGCAAGGTCTGCCTGCTTGGAACTGAAGTCACTGGGACATATAGAAAAGACAGGAGCACTTAAAGGGTCTACATTTTGTTAAAGTCATTGAGCTATTTTTTCCATGAGCAAGAGAAATAGACATAGAGACAGAAAGAGAGATAGCACCTCCAACAGACTCAGTGCCATAATCCACGCCCAGCTTCTGCCAGTGTTGCATCACAGGCACACGGAGCCCCGTGCACTCAGAGAGGTCTTGGGATGCAAAGCCAGAACCTTCCCACGTGGGTCAGCCTCTCAGACTAGCAGGCTTTACTGCTGTGCCATCGTCAGCTCCCTTAAGGGGTAATTTTGACAAATTGTTAGACACTGAGTATGGACAGGAGGAAGGGTGAGAAAAGCTCAAGGGCTGCAATCCAAAGAGGCTCCATATTTTATTTATTTATTTTTATCCCCAAGAATGCTACCAAGTTCTTATATCAAAGAACCAAGAAATATCCCCCTGTATCTGACAGACGGAGGGAAGAGTGATCATTTTGAACATCTCCATAATGAAGGAAATCCAAGAGAAAGGCTAGACCAGAGCCTTATCTAAGCACGGGGCTTCCTTCTTTTACTGAAAGGAGGAATAAGACTCAAAAACCATTTGTAAAGATCACAGTCCAAGGACATTGGTCAACAAAATACTAAGATTTAATCTTAAGATTTTAGAATGCTTCACCTTTCCATATTTTGCCACCATCGTGCATTCACAGTGGCCTAGAGCTAAAAAGGTTGCAAGACACAAACCCAGAGAAAGAAAAATTCTCAGGGAAGCACTGAGACAACAGGGAAGGACAAAAACGAGGATATTGGAGGAATATAAAGGTTCTGACACCTATGTCTGCAGCCCGCCTTAAACAGCACTGCTCTTAACAGAATGAACTTACAACTTAGTACCTCATTCCGCTCATTTTTAAGAACATGCTTAAAGTAGTAAGAGCAACTATTTATTTTTGGGTGAGTATAGCATAGAGATAAATGAATAAGTTATAGCAATGTCACAAAGAACTTATACATTAAGAGGAGATAAAATGATTTCAAATAAAATGCTCAACTAAAACTGGAAAAGATGGAAGAAGAGAATGAAGACACAAAAAGGGGCAACAGATTGGAGGCAACTGTAAATACGGTACATAAGGCAGATAATAGCCCAAATATATCTATAGTCACTTTAATATAAATAGTCTAATTACGATGAAGAAAATGAAGATTGTCAGTGTATTAAAAACCGAGAATCAGGCCAGCTAGGTGGCATGGTAGTTAAGGGACTCCACATGGCCAACTACGTATTGCGAGTCCTGGACCTGGCAGCTTGAAAACACGTTGGGTATGTGTGCTTACATGCCTAAAATTCCTGAGAGGTGAGAGGAGGAAAAGGGATTGCAGTATGATCATCTCCCAAGCAGTGTTTTCTCACTTTCTTTTTTTGTCTCTTTTTCTAGCAAGCACACATACCCTGTAGCAAACTGAAAAAGAAAAAAAAAAAAAAAAGAAAACACAAAAGAAAGAGAGAAAGAGAGAAAGAGAAAGAAAGAAAGAATCCCCCCTCCCAAGTCTCTTAAAGACTCAGAAGATAGTTTAAAGTAAAGTGATAAAAAAGATACATTATTCTAACATTAATCAGAAGAAAGCTGGATTAACTACTCTCCAAGGCCTGGGGTATTTATCTCTTAACTTCAAATATCACCTATTCAGAAAGTCACTTTCCAGCTTCCTGTAACTTTATTTTTCTTTGGAGTGCTTGTAAACTCTGACACTGGTGTATGCTTATCCACCACAATTATATCCCCCCACCTACGTAAGTATGTGTGGTGTGCAAGAGTTTGCCTTCTCTACTATAATGCACTTCCCGAATGTTAAACCACTGGATCAAGTTCTTTGCCTTTGTAACTGATGGAATGTCCTTTTGAATGTGCAACTATCCTATCCACCCCCACAAAGTTATAATCAGTATTCACTAACTAACAACATTTAGATTTGTTCCTACCTCTTATTAGATAGCTCCCTTTTTTGAGTCTTACAAATCATGTGAGGCTGATAGCCAGGATTTGTTGTGAACATTTAGTAAGACAGTAAATCGTGTGCCTGACATGGAGTAGATTATTAAGAGGTCTTAGTTTCTGCCTTTATACCATGTTGCAAGCAGTAAAGATGTACAATGATAAAATGAAAACAATTTTAAATGCTGCTTTTGGCTATTTGGCTCACTTGTGAGTTGTGGCATCAATTTTGTAAAAAAATTAACTTTTTATTATTTTCTACTTAGCAATGTTAGTTGTAGTCATAGCTGGGAGAAGCTTCTTCAAATCAAGCCTGATGTTTTCTTATTAGTGATGGTGCATTTCTTGTCATCTAGACTGCTACATTATCAGCCAGACCAGGCAGCCAGGACCACGTTTCCTAACATACTGCAGGGAGAAGTGTGAAGCCTTGAAGATCTTCACTTTAAGCTGAATGCGTTGTAAGTCCAAATCCTCCACACTAAACAAGTGCCATAATAGTATTTTTTTTCTGAACTGTGAAGTCAATATGTTGTGGAATTGGGAAAAAATAGATAAAAATATCATCTACTGTTCTACCACATTAACTAAACATTTGTTTGGAGTTTTGTCCTTCAACCATTTCAATATGTGCCATGATTTTACATGCTGGT